CTCCATTAATTTTACGCCTGAATACAATCATCCAGAAAATAGCACATATCAAAGATGCATGTCATCAGCATAAAAGTGGAAAATTATAAATGTAATCAAATTTGACAATACTGAGAGGAGATGTCAGCTGCTGGTCATGGAGACTGCATTTCAATACAGCAAACTCCAGGAAAACTGCAAGGGCCCAGTGGAGCCAAACCAGTACTAAACAAGAGGTTATGGCACAAACCAGAATTTGCCATTCATAATGCAGTCTAAATAATGTGTTGATACTGAGAGAGAAACACTCTTAAGAAAGCTCGGTCATGACCTATTTCAGGTTTAGCTTGTTTCACAGAGGATGATATGGAAATTTGAATCATTTTTCAATCTCCTGATCCCTGACTTCTTTACTCACCAGTCTTAGGAGCTGCTACACTTGGAGCAACCAGACTAAGCCTCAGTTAAGGGCACTTGACACCGCATTCACCTTTCCCATAGAGCAGCCCTATGAAGCCAGCTCTGTGTGCCACACACAAACCTAGGACACAGAAATCAGCCTGAGCTGGGACATTTTTGTAATGCTAGAGGTGCACTGTCACCTGCTGAGGGCCTCTGGGGACTGTGGCAGGCTTAAGAGGCGATTCCATGGGAGGAAACAACGTGAAGCCCTCTGGTAGCTCAAACAGAACTGGATGAAACAGCGATGCACGACATGAGGCAGCCTGCAACCAAGCTGGGGGTTTGACTCCTCTCTGCTTCAAACTAGGGCTGCAGCTGCTGCATTTTGCAGCTGCCTCTATTAAAAAGCTGAAAGGTTGTTTTTTTTTTAACTCAACAAAGAGACTGAGACAACAGACTAACCTCTTTCGGCACAGCAGAGGCACAGCAGCCACAAGAGTAAAAAAAAATGCTTGGGGATTTTTGACTGCTACCATGGACACATAATTTCTGGGTTAATAAGAAATAATATATATATATACATATATATATATATATATATATTTCTTTATCAGCATTTTAGCTTCTTAAACAGAAAGAGTTAGTCACAATTTTGGGTTAATGCATGGGCCAGCATTATGTGCAATCAGGTAATTTAGCCAGGAAAACAGCCAGAGGAGAGGAACTCCAGGAGACCCATCTGAGGTGGTAAAATGGTAGCAGGGACTCAGAGCTGACACATGCAAGTGCTTGCACTTCGGAAGAAAATCTAAACTGCTCCCCACTGCCCAATTAGCTGATGTCTTGCAGCCATGGCTGTGGCATTGATCATAAATAGCTCCTTGCTCACTTGTGCCTCTCCTGTCTTCTGGATCACCATGTTTTGTCTCTCTGTCTTCACCTGAGATCGAGAGCTCCCTTGAGAGGGAAACTGTCTTTTTAGCTACTGCAATCCAAACAAATAAAATAAATGAATACATTCCTGAGTACTAAAGCAGGCAACAATGGAAAACCTTTTATTCCAGTTATCTTAGCAGAAAGAAACTGTTCAATACACTTTGGCTGAAACAGTTGAAAACATTTTAAATATTACAATATCAATTTTAAATACTTATCCAGAATGTTCCCACAACTCTATCTCAATACTGTACATCTTAAACAACTCCTGTGAAGAGCCTGGCACCTACTCTTCAGAGACAGTTCATATTTCATGCAGATCACTCCTGTATGCTTACAGTTCCTCATGGACAATGAAGCTTGATACAGAGATCCTGGCCTACAGACAGTCTGGGAAGCAGAGGTGCTCCAACAGCACTTCAAATCAAAATCATATAAGTTTACAGATTTGAAGGGAAAATTGTTTTACTTTTGTTGGTGGAGGTGTTAGTGGGGTGAAAAAAAACTCTACAGAAAGCATATGGCCATCCCTTCATTATTTTTTTTATTTAAAGCAGGAAGGATTCTTAACTACACAGTTAGATAATTCACTAGGCAATGAGAACTGATAAAGGGTTTGCATGTCTAAAAACTTAAATAATTTTTACAGTTATATTTGTTGACCTATGTAAAAGACATCTCTCTATAAATTCATGAGCTACTCACACCATCACACATATAGTAAAGTAGCAATAAAGTAGCTTCCTTTCATAGGAGGAAAATTATCACCTCCACTCAAATCAGTGGGAAAAACAAAAATCTAAACCACAACTGACAGGTATCTCCCGTGACGAAGAAGAGAAGTGGCATTCACAAGCAAGGGGGGGGTGGTGTGGGTGTGTGTTTTTTCCTTGAAGCTGGCTGCTTCAAGGCTGGCTGCTTCAGTAGCAATAAAGACCTTTTTTGTGATTGTTTGAGCCCCAGAAGCATGAATTTGGATATTAGAGAAATGTCTGTTTCCCTGCAAGCAAATGCTGACGAGAATTCCTCTGTCTAAGCTCGTACCAGCCTGATATAGGAGCAGTTTTCAAATGTAACTTCTAATTTTCCTCTCTTCCTCTGTTGCTCTCACTCCCTTTTTTAATTACATTCAGGATGTTTTCTTATTGATTTACTTGTTTTTGTATTTAGATGCAGTGATTAGAAATTCTTTTTATATGGCAATTCAGTTTTCCATTAAAAGAAGCCTCTCATGCTATAAACCCAGGGGGAACTGAGGAGGAGATTTTGATGAAAGATGGTATTTGGAGATTGCATTGCACTCTGCTCTATCTCAGCATCCTCTGCCGTGTAATTCATTTCTCTCTGCCACAAAAGCCACATTCCTCCCTTGTGAAGGCAACTGTATTTGCCAAGTGGTCAGGATAGATATCATACAGCAGCATGGCTCAGATGGGCAGGACTCCTGGCTAGCAGAAAGGATTTGTTGTATTTCCAAAACACAGGAAAAAAAAAAAAAAAAAAAATAAATGTTCATGAAAGCTCAGCTCTGACGGGACATGACATTAACAACTCACTAAGAACAAGCAGTTGCAGCAGCAAAAAAAAAAAAAAAAAAAAAAAAAGCCCTTGGAAATGTACAGATCATCTTTTGATACATAGTTAAAGTTGCATTCAGTTTCTGATCTGTATGGGGGCTCAAAGAGTCTACAAAAAGTAACTAAAGAAAGCAAACCTCTTGCCAAGAGGCTTACAATCATTCTGCAAAGACAAATCCTCTTTTTAAAATTTTCAAGGTCTCAAAAACGAAAAGGAAATATTGAAAAACACCAATTTAAATAATGGAAAGATTCAGGGGCCTGAATGTGCAAATAGAACAGGAAATCCCAAGAAAAGGAGTATTTCTCTGGCTTATTTCTTACACCTAGTATCTATTTGCATTTCTAAAATGTCCTTAGCAGAGAAACTCATAGATGCTCTCCAAGATTCCATGCTCCCCTGTCGAGTAAAACATGGCTTATTCCTGAGTTTTCCAAGTGGAAAATAAGGTTTAGAGCCCAGGAGATCTATCTACTAGCTCTTACCCTGAGCTTTCCTCACCAACCTAGGAAAAGAACCTGTGAAGTTCTAATTTCTCAACTTCTATCTCCAGGCCCCCACTGGCCCCTATTTCACTGGAGACCAGACACAGAAGTGTTCCAGAACACATTCCCACAAAGCAGTGAGTTTTCCCAGCTGACCAAGTGCTGGATGTTTTCAATTGTATTGATGATTAATTACATTTCTATCACTTTGGGAAGCCTCCAAAAGTGGTGCTGCTATTACCTTTCTGCAGAGCTCAGGTGATGCTGCAAGCTCAGGATTAAGACAAGGTTTGCCTTTTTGTTACATTAGTTATGCAGGGCAGATTGTTTGGCAATTACATTTAAAGTACAATTACTGTGCCATTTGTACTTGCTACGTAAAGAGGCAAAAGTTTTTTAAGGCATTAATACCTTGAAAAGTACCAGGGTAAGTGGAAATGACTGTTCTCTCTTATTAGCAGCATGGTTATTTATACTTTTGCAGATTACCATAGTGCAGTGCAATTAGGCTTCTTAAGTACTGTTCAAATTGAGAAGTTTCAAGAGCTCTACTGAATAATTAACTCTTAAATGCATTTACAGGAATAAACCTTCAGCAAATGGCCAAAGCCTGCTCCAGACAGGGGCTTTTAAATCACGTGTGAAGAAAGAAGCAGAAGAGACCATCTGCCACGAAGGGCTGACACCCAAGCAATGGCTACAATCACTGAGGGTTCCACCAGCTGCATTTTGAGCAGGGTTCACAATAGCTATAATAAACCAGATAAATCTGAAACAAGGCACTTGGTCTCTTCAGTCCTGGCTGCCTTTTCTTTCTTCTTTTTTTTTTAATGTACCAGGGTAAAAAACACCTGATGGCAATTCTGTTAAAGGCATACTACTCCACAGGTAGGATGAAACAATTTGGTGATTTCAAATACCAAGGAACTGACCTGTTTATAGGGCTGAGTTTGGGGACTGAGGGGATTTTAAGTTATTTCTTTATTTTAAATGCACACACACACACTTCCAAACACACAGTCCACAAGCATGCTTCCCCAGGGCAGGACAGCCTATCTCTCATGCTAGACTAGGAACATGGCAGCTATGTGGCACCATACAAGTACATCCACAGTGGAGAGGACACTGTGGCATCTCCAGTTCTTCTGGAGCTACTCTCCTTACAGCCCAACACACAGTCACTACCAAGATGACCCTCTTAGCTCACAGGGGTGAGGAACAAGGCCAGCATCAGCTAAGATTATATCTTACACTGTGTTTTATTCCTTCTCAGACACAGTTCCAGCAAGTGTGTACCCATCCTTAGAGCCTGTTCTCACTGCCAGCCTCACAGTAGAGAGAGGAAGGACACTCAAAGCTGAGAAGGAAACCAAGCTCCTCTGTGTGTCAGTGAAGTGCCATTACATGATGAAACCCACTTGTTTGCAGACCCCACTTCATTAAAGGAATGTGTCCTAATCTTGCATCCCTTTCCCAAAGAGCAGCTCCATTTGTCTCAGATTCCTTCCCAGCTCCTTGTCTGAAGAACTCAGATATTGCCCCATGCCCACAGCCCAGGCCAGCCCCCAGACACAGCACAGCCCTCCATGCCCATTGCTGTGATTTCCAATTTCCACATACCTCCACAGTGAGCTCTCTGTGACACTCCCCAGGTTGAAGTCATAGAGCTTTGTCAGAATGAGAATCACCTAGAGAGGGAGGGAGGGATAAAGAGAGAAAGGGAAAAGAGGAGGAAAAAAAAAAGGTTGATGTTAGATTTTATAACAATACACAGGGCATATGAAACCACCTAAAGGAAAGCTGAGCATTTATCCATTAAATTTGCAGTATTATAGGATAAAGTAGGTTTAAAAATAAAATGGAAAATCATTAGCTTAGCACATTGTATAACCAGTAGCACGTATTTTAATCCCAAAATGTTTTGCATTTGAAGTAAAACATGCCACCAGGAATTAATCAGACTTTGTGAGCTGACCTCTCTGCAACTATGATTATTCAAAGTCAGGGATGGAATCAAATGCACCCTTGTTAATTCAATAGCTCAATCTAAAATTACAGTCAATTTCTTTTGTCTCTCAACATTCTATCATTAATTATTCAGTCTCCACAGAACAAACTGGCAAATTTGTTTTTATGTAGATCCCCATCCACCAAAACAATCCATCTTGCCTAGAGTCAGCTTTGTTTTCTCCACCTGCTGTCACTGACTCCAGAGCCCGGGAATTCCAACATGCCATCACCTTCCCACAGTGGTAAGAGGGACACAGAGCATGACATTTTGCTTATGCACTGAGCAAGACAAACCTTCACTTGGATCTTTAGTGCTCACAGACAGTCAGAGGCCCCAGGAATCACTGACTTTCTGGAGAAAAGACTCCTGAGTTATGCCCCTGCAAAACTGAGGTTAGGGGAGAGGGAGTTAAGCAGCACATGGGGGTTCACAGAGGAATATGCTTTCCCTCTGATCTACCTGGTGCTGTGACCTCAGATTTCACAGATAAATGCAATCCTCCTAGCCACAAGCTACATTGCCCAATGCCCTCCTCTCCAGAAAGGCAGTTATGCATTTTGATAGCTTGGGAACCCATGTGCAGGCTCCCAGGCTCACGTGGGATGGGAACTTGTGCAGAGGGAACAGAGGGAAGGTAAGAGCATTTGAGTATCTGCTCCCTGCCTTTTTAGCATTACTAATGTCATACAGTTCATTCCCTTGGATTCTACAGGACCAGCCTCAAGGAAGAGCTCCAGGGCACCTCTTCATTCTTGTTTTGCATAGTTTTAACATTTCAGCATCATTTCCTCCTTGCAGGATTCAAGCACAGGCCAGTTTCCCTCACATCTGCTCCAGCTGTGAGAGAGAGCAAAGTTTAAAGCTTTGCAGAAAAATGCCAAAGGATTAATCAATATCACAGCTGCTGCAGCACTCATTTACTGTCAGCATAATACCAGGAAAAAACCTGTTCAAATTGTAAGGGACCTTGGTACGTGACTATGCAGTCAGTGCCCATCTTAATGACTTTAGAATAGATGCTCTGAGCACTCCTCCCTCTCCTGGATTCACTTTTACCATCCCCTATTGCATTTTACCCTTTATTTCCCCATGCAGAGACCTTTAAGAAGAAGATAATAGCCAAGCTGCTTCCAGCAGGGTGTGAAAAGAAACCTGCCAGGCAAATTTGAGTCAGCATATGCAAGCTCATGTCAGCTGAAACCAACACTATGCTATGGGGAAATAAGGCTAACATCATTTTTAATGCAGCCTATACAAAGGAGGTTGCTGCAAGCTGCAGCAACCAAGGTCTGCATGGTTTGTCTGCCTCCACCCCTTACACCCAAGCAGGGCATCTTCTCCCAGCTAAAATCCAATGAGAATGACATTTTCAGGACGTTCCCTATAATCCCACAGGCACTCAGCCACCACTCCTCTCAAGACTCTCTAGGAAGCCATGCACTATGGCACAAGCCCTGCCCTGCCTGAAATTACACCCCTCATATTGCTCACAACTCTGGTGAGGTTTCACAAAGTTTTTGAGTTTCAAAGTCTAAGCACATTGAAGACAGCTGAGTTCAGTGGATCCTGGATTCATTCCTAAATATTGTAAATAAAATCTCTGTGTCTTGATCAAATTTCAACAGATTCTACCTTATTTCTACCCTAAACTGCAATTACAACTAAAGGCAGCATCCATACCCTCCCAGCTCTTGGTGTGTCTCTCCCCAGATCTCCTATGCCCTATATTTTTGAAGACGTCACTTCTGTATTACACCCTGCAAATCCCAGGATAACAACAGCTTTACAGAAGTGGGCTGAATGCTACTCAGCTCCTGGATATAAATTCATAGTAAAAGCATGTTGTTTAGAATGACTTTTCTGGATTTTTGCCTGGAATGACTGACTAACATCCATCTCTACTTGGTGATGCATGGAAAGCACAAGCGTCCCTTGAGCATATCTTACACACAGTCCCAGGAAATAGCAGGAATTTCCTGAGGCAGTGGTAACACCTACAGCAACCTGTCCTTAAAATCACTCACCACATGAGCCCAGAACAGGCAGCATTCCCACACCAGTAACCCAGGCAGCTTCCACTCTGCTCCTGCTTACTTTTGAGAAAAAAAAACACCCCAAATTCAATAAAGGCAACTCTTGCAATGGTTTGGGAGTCTGAAAACCAGAGAGGATCTGAGAGTCTGAACACACAACCTTCCCAAGAAAAGCTGCAAAAGCATCTTCCCCCTACAGGCTGCCTTGTGAGAGCACAGAGCAAACTCAGCTGCCCAGGGAGCACCTTATATCCTTATATCGAAGGATGGACCCCAGACCGAAGTTGTCCCCTCCTCAAAGTTGTGCTGCCCTGATAGACCCAAGGGAGCCCTACAAACTGACATCAGGAACCTGGACTGGTGAATTTTTTTTTCCAGGGAAAATGGCCTAAGGATGTGCCCAGGGGCCCCTGTGGGGTTGAGGCAGAGCCTGAGAGGCAGAGCTGGATGCTGAGCTGTCCCATGGGCTGTGTTTGACACAGCTCTGCAGAGGAAACACCAAACCCTTCCAAGAGGATATTCTGAGCACCAACAGGCTGCCCAACCATGCTAAGAAGAAACATGAGGCAGGGGCAGATGTGGGAAAGTACCAGGTTTTCTGGCATCATGTTGTTTCAATGCTTTAATTGGAAGAGGATGGAACAAAAGAGAAGGAAAATAGGACACATTTTCCAGAACTGAATTCTGACAGGAAAAGGAAAAATTAAAAAGGGAAAATCCTTCCTTGACTCAGTCTGAGACATTGATTCCAATTTCTGCTTTGTAGTTGAAGAAGCTCAGCTTGTTTTTGTGAACACTAACAAATTACTTTTTTTTCCATGACAGTGTAATTTTGCATTAAAATCTTGATAGGTTTCATTTTAAAAGCTGAATTCTACTGAAAACTGGAGATTTTACAATTAAGGCACTACTTCAAAAACATTTTCTTTCCCTGAACTGAGAGAAATCTGGAATTGCCACCCCATAGAAAATGCCCACTCTGCAACATAAATGAAAACATTTTGCTCTGGGGAAAAGAAATAAAAATTTATTAAGTTCCAAGAAATTCAGAAACAGCAAAAACTTAACTTACGCATTATTTAATCAAAATAAAGAAAACACCTTCATAGTGCCAAATTAAACTGTTTCTATTCATCAAACCAATCTTTCCAAAATTAATTCCAAGTCAGCTCAATGTTAAACTGCATTTTGCTATGGGATCATACTTCTCATTTTAGGAAATACAGCTCAGATATGAAATTTCCTCATCTCCTGCAGGCTAGGCTCCACACACTACCCTGTGCTTCCCAGGACACCCCAGGGCAGGTGTCCCTTGGGACACCAAGCAGCTCAGCTGGTTGAGAATGAAAAAAAAGGGAAAGAGTCTCCAGGACAGAATGTGGAAATAAGGAGTCTGAATTACATCTCCCTTAAGGCAATATAATCCCTCCAGAAAATGCAATTTCAAGCTGAGCTTACACAAAACTTAATGACCTGAATAATTTAACAAATTGTTTTGGTTTTGTAGACAGAAGTGGGAATAGAGAAAGAATAATCACAAAAAATATATTTTCTTCAGAAAGAAATGTTCCAGTTCTACAAGAATTTTCTTATGTGCTTTATTTTTCACACATGCATCTCCACATTGCATGTAGGTTGGAGTTGTTTTCACTGTCTACTAAATACCCTGCTTTAAGGCTTATATTAAAAAAGCCAACACCTGTCAATCATTTACCTTCAATGGTCTATACATCAGTACAGATTAAGAGCCTCTGGCACTGAGGAATCCTGACACAATGCACTATAGCATACTAAACCACTAAATCCAGATTTAACATGACGGACCATGTGTCTAAAATAAAGCCAGCAAGTGTCCAAAACTGTCCAATTCAGCAGCCTTGAGTCTTAACACAACTTGGCTGGGATGAAAGCAGAAAAAATACAACCAGGAACATTAGCCCACATTTCATTCCATCTCAAAAGCACATCCCTAAAGGGATCTCTATTGTTCAGGCAATTATCAGGAATCTCCAAGCCCACAAATCACAAAAGTACTCAAAAGCTTTTCAGAATGTTTGGTGGTGTAACAATCTTCCATGCCAATAAAATTTTACTACGAAGGAAAATTACTTCAGTTCATTAAACCCAGCTTCAGATCTTGCCAATTCCAAACTGGCAAAGTGCTTTGCATATACCCCAGAGTGGAATATATAATGCCTGTTTCCCACAAATTAAAAGTGCAAAGGCAGTGCAGTTCCTTCAGCAGGCTGACAGTGAACTTCAGAACAAGTGAAAAGCACCACACCAAAAGCTGTGTGGAGACCCTACACTCCTGCTTAAGGGGGATATTAGGGACACGAGAGGGAAGAGCACAGCAGCCAAAGTAGAAGTCAGACAGAAATCAGAAATCAGAAAGGCCAGCTCTGATTCACTTCAGGAGATATCTCTTCTCTGAGTGATCCTGCTGTATCAGCACAGAGATTAACACAACTCATCAGTAGCCCTGTGCACATATTTGCCAAGTGTAATTAATAAAGAGTACAGGGATGAGCACTAGGCAGCACAGAGCACAGCAGAAAGAGGACAGGCAAATTTACATGTGAAAAATGAGAGCTCTCCACTCACTTGCTCTGGCATGCTGGGGTCTCTGTCTCCTGCCCACAGA